AAAAGCCCCATTTCCTTCTGCGGGGGGGAGGAGTTCCCCCTGCCTCTCTCAAACACCTCAGCTAGACCAGACACCTCACCTCATCTGCATGGCCAGGGAGATCGATGGCCAGTTTCTTCATCTTGGCATCCCAGACCTTCAGCGTGCTGTCACTGCTCCCGCTCACCAGCAAGCGGCTGTCGGCTGACCAGGCGATCTGATACACAGCAGAGACGTGTCCTCTCAGCGACGTCAGGTACCTGGTGTGGAGGAGGCACGAAGAAGCTGTTAGAGGAGCTGGCAGCTGGGTTTGTTCCAAACCTGCCCTTGCCCAGCCTTCATGTTGCTTCTCCACCTGTGAGCAAGCAAGCATGGTCACGGGATGTCCAGCGCACCCCAAGCCAGCACACACAAGGTGGTCAATCGCTACACAGAGTCCACAGGTGGTTCAGTCTGACTAAAAACCTTCTCAGATGGGCTCAGAGCCTTCTAGACAACAGCTCCTCTGCCAAGAAGCCCTTATCCAGTGGGCAACACTACAGCCTCACCACACAGATGTGACCTCCTCTTCTCTGTCTGAGCAGCCTGAATTTAGAAGGACCATTAAAACCACTGCCATGAACCCCAGCTCATCAGTACAAAGGCAAAACAAGGGCAGGACTGCTGCCTCAGCCAGCTCACTAGCACTCTAGTAGAAGCCTAAAAGCTGGACTACAGGAGCATCCAAACACCAACAGCACCATTTGTAACTACAAGAATTTGCATTGTCCAGAACAAATTGTTCTCTGGCACAGGAACCATTTCAACTGGGTCAGTCTACAGCGTGCAACGCACACGTCTGCAACGCACACGTCTTCAGGAGAGCAGCTGAGTGGAACATCCCATCCCACCACAGCTCTACCTGCTCTGGAGAACCAACCCTGCAGCATGCAGCACGTGCCACACGCGTGCCAGGCAGCAGTGAAGCTGGGTACAGTGGGGTTGCACACACCTGGCCAAGCACAGACCCCGTAACACAAGAGGAGCTGGATAAGGGACCTCCCAAGGGCAGAGAGACAGAGGCAGCAGAATTACTTTGCACGAGTTCAGGCTACAGAGATGCTGAACACACCAGGAAGCTGCTGGAAACGATTCTGGGGCCCATCTCTACGTAACCTGTGCATCAGACCCTATATGAGCCCCCCCTCTGTAACAGAACCAACCAACTCACTTTCCTGTCCTGCCATCCCAGAGCTTTATGGACTTGTCAAAGGAAGCACTAGCTATTAGCCGGGTGTCTGGCGAGAAGAGGACTTGGTTTATCAATGCCTGGTGGCCCGTCATTCTCTCTAGCGGCTTCTTGTCTTCTGCTGGTCTCCAAAGAAACAGTGTGAAATCATCTGACCCCGAGACGAGCCTTTCTGGTTCCTGGCCCTGAGAAAGGGATGAAGTAGCCCAAGTCTTGTACAAGCCAAGTGTGGAGAGCTCGGAAGCACACCAGTGTTGGGGTCAATAGCCAACTGTGCACATCTGCTTCCACCAGTAACAGTGTTAGAAATGACAGCAGGGACAAAGGGGACTTACCCTGACTTGGTCATACCTCTGCTGTGCCTTGTCCTTCAGTTCTGCCACTGAAAGAGGGAAAGGGAGAGGGGAAGAAAGAGAGATTTGCAATCCTCAGGTGAAAGGAAACCTTATAACCCTGTGATGCCAATTCCAATCCTGGCTCCGTGGGCCAAGCAGACACATTTGTGATTGCTCACCCCCCTTCTCTTTTCCAAGGGTGATACTGGAAGCAAAACCCCTTTAAAACAGGGTGGCTTCCATCCCCCAGGCTGCTCAACTCTGTGCGTGGACAAGAAAAATCACGGCTGCCAGCACGACTGACACCGGCACAGGACCTGTTCCCAGCTCTCAAGATTGCTTTGGCTCATGGCGGCATTAAGAGGAGACACCAGGTCTCTTCTCCATCCTCCCACCGCCTCCCCCAGCCCACAGTGCAGGTGCTGCACTTACAGGAGCCTCTCACATCCTGTGGGTTGATGGTGGCTTCAGCGGGTTCGAAGGCACCGGTGCGGAGAACGTAGTCAGTGCTGAGGGCCATGGTGTTCACCCAGTGAGCGTGGCCCTGCAAGGTGCGGCAGAGGACCCCCTGGAAATAAAACCACCGTCTTAGAGAGGGATGGGCAGGACAGAGCCAGACCCACCAGACCCACTGCGCTGTGGAGAACAACCCTAGACTTTCCAAACCCTCTTGCCCCAGAGGCAGGCAGGGCTGCAGCCAGGCTTGGCAGGGAAGAAACAATACTGTTGAGCTTCAGGGACCAGTTTCCTGCAAGACCTTCCATGGAACTCCCCAGAACAGGTCGCTCCAGGGATGTTTCCAGCTTTTAGCCCCATTTTATGGTTTTAGGGCTGAAAACATTGCACAAGTTACCCGTTCCAAACGGTGTCAAGCAAAAGGCTTTGACAGGTCAAGAGGATACAGCCCCCACTCTGCATCTCCATCTTCCAGGGCACAAGCTGTGCCAGGAAGAGCAGACAAAGCTACACCACCATGTGTCCAGCCCCCTTCTCCAGCCCCCCAGGGCTGCCTGCCTCACTTACGTCCTGGCTCCTCCAGACTTTGATGGTCCTGTCCTGGGAGGAGGAGTAGAGCAAGCCATCACCTCCCCACTTCACACACGTCACCGACTGCGTGTGGCTCGTGAGGATTTTTTCACACTTGCCCATCAGCGTGTCCCAGATGCGGACGCTGCCATCCTTGGAGGCACTTGCCAGGTAGCGGCACTCTGGGTTTCTGGGCAAACAGAAGATCAAATCCATTTGCGCAGCGCACAGAGCTCCTCCACCAAGCTCTTCCCCCACCAGCCCCAGAGGATTCAAGGGTTCAGAAGTCAATAAAAGCCAACTTTCTCAAACGCTTCCTTCCAAACCAACCCCAGGGCTGCACTCCAAGGGATCAATCCAGGGTAAACTGGCACCTCAGCCCTTGACAATGACCTTGTTTCCACAGGAGGTTCACAGCTTTAACCCACTGGTCACAAGGGGACCACAAACTATCACCTTCCCTGGGCACTGGTAGGGCAGAGCCCTGGGCAGCAGGACCAGTCTGCCTTCCACAGACCAGCAGCAAGGGGATCGCTCCCTGCCTCCGCCAGGAAACACGCTGGCCTGCGGACAGCCTGCGGACACAGAGCGCGGCTGCGCTGGCAGGGCTGAAAGCGGCAACGTCCATCCATGTGGCTCAGAGGGGGACAAATTTAACACAACCCAGCAAGGACAGGGCAGCCAACACCTCCCTGTCCTTCCCACAACATCTTTATCACTCAACATGATTTTACATCTGAGAACGTGGTCCCTGGCACCAGCAGCAGCGAGGATGAGCACAGCCTCTCCTGTTGCACAGGAACCGAGCGGGGAGCACAGCTGGAGACAGAGAATTGGAGCCCTGGCAGGGTCATCTCCCTCCACTCCATTTCCTCATCCTCCTTCATAATCAGGTTTTGCTAATCCAGTTGTTTGCAAATAGCTGGAGTTTCCTACTGGCAAATTCAATTTGCAGAGCTCTGCTCCGAAGGGGCTCTGTTTCTTACATTTATTTCTATAATGTCGTGGATTATTAGCTACAACTGTCCCCCTCCACCCATCTCTCCCCGACAGAGCTTTAGCTGATCAAAGGGATAAGAGAACTGCACTGTTAATCAGCCTGCATGGTAAAGAAAATGATGAATAAACTGGATGGTAGGACGCAGGAGAGCAGAAAGGGAGGGCTCTGCAGAGCCTGAGCTTGGGCACCACACGGGCAGACCCTCCTGCTCCCAGCTCAGCACACCAGGGAGGAACACATCAAATGTTGGTCCAGCACCACAAAAACCCCGGGTTTTCCACAGGCAATCTTATAGAGAGGAAGAAGGCACAGCCTGGCAGTGACTCCCCCAGCACCCTGACAGGGACTGTGAGCAGCGGCTGGGACTCCTGGCTCCGAGCTGGATGCATTTTTCTCAGCCCACCCTGGGGGCTGCTCTCCTGCAGGCCCCCCCTCTGCACAGCCCAACAGGACAGAGGCAGAGGGGAGCAGGGTCCTTCAGGTCAGGCTGCTCTTTTCTGTACGAGCAAAGGGGAAGGGCTGGGCTGGCCCCTCACTTACATGTGGAGCGGTTCCCAGCACAGACACGTGATCCATTTGGAGTGGCCAGAGAGCACCCGGCCGATCTGATTGCCGGTGGCTGGGTCCCAAAGAAATATCTGTGTGAGAGAGGAAGCACACGGGTCGCGTCAGGCCACAAACATCATGTGAAACCCCAGGGACGTTCGGGCTCTGTTTAGAAAGCGCAGGTGTCCTTGGGGTCACATTTAGATTCGCAGAAGCAGGGAGCAGAAAGGGAGAAGGGCAGGAGAGCTGGATGCCTTTCCAGATCCCTGGAACAATCAGCTGATATCTCAAAGCATGAGACTTGCTCGCCCTCCTCTCTGCCTCAAACGCTGCTGCTGCTACAAAAATATCTGCCTCAACTCAAAACCAATCCAGGTCCCCAAAAAGCCAGTCTGAGCCTTTGATATCCTGTGCCAGAGCGTTAGTGGATGTTTGCAGAGCGCAATGAAAGGCAGAGCATGCTAAATGCTACTTATTATCGGTTTCTGTGGGTAGGACACATGCTGGTTTCCTCTTGTTTTTTGTCTCTCTACATAAATGTTCCTCCAAAGAGCCAAAGCATTAGTCATCTCCTACTTAGGAACCTGGGAAGAACAGGGGAACGGAGCACAAGCAGCTCCCTGGGTGAGGTTAAAGCCAGACTGACACCAAACCAGGGCAGAACCACCCTGGCCTGGCCCGTTTCCTTGGGGCTGGTATCAAAGCAGATACCGAGCGTGGGACAGCAGCGCCCAGCACCTCCGTGGCTGCTCTCCTTGCTCCCAAACCGCTTGAAGTTCAGAGTAAGTGACTACCCCTCTGCAGCTCTGAGAGTTACTGACATGCTTTTAAATGCCCACAAACCATCCTGCTTCCCCAGGCGTTCCTGTGCACACCCAGAGCCTAAAAAAAAGTGTGCACCCCCAGAGCCTCCCTTGGGTAAGAGGGAATTTGGCCGTGTCTGAGCAGGAGCGCTGCAAACCAAGCTGCTGCTGCTGCTGCTGCTGCTGCACGGCTGGGTCAGGCAAACAGCGGCCCTCGTCTTGGCTGGGCGATACCCCTTCTCGCTCCAGACACCTCCCTCGTGATGGAGCCGCCTGCCAAGGACCACGGCCAAAGCCCGGACTCTTTCCTGCAGGGAGGGGAAAAGCGTCTGCCACAGGACAGCACAGGCTCAGCAGCAAGAGCTCTACAG